TATAGTAATTTTGTTCTTACAGTAAGTGAAAATGTGTTAAACGGACAGGAATTAATTGTATTTTTGGAAGTCTTTAGTTCTAAAAGAAGAATCAAGTTACTGTTCATTACCTCAGTACCAGAGAATTGATTTGGATTTCTGTGAAACTGAGCYATATTGGCTGCAAACAGGAATTTGTTCTTGGAAGGATAACGGCAACCAGCCTCTTACCCTTGTTTACACTGCAAAAGGTACATAGGAAAAGAACAGGACTCTCCTCCAGCGTTCACTCTGTGTAATTAAAACATGAAAAGTACTGCTGGTTTGGCTCGTTTTCTAAACAAATGTTAGAGCAAACATTCAAAATGAAGGAGAGCCAAGCCAAAGTTGCAAAATTTTCTGCTGTCAGGAATTTGTGTGTATGAATTCAGATGCTTGAGTTTTGGCAACTTCCTTACGTCCTGTCCGTCCCAAAAAATTCAGACTTACAGGGTTATAGCTATGACTGTACTCAGCTACCCAGTGACTTAAGTGATGCTCATTTGAGAGGTGAAAATCAAGATGAATTTCAGCCTGATTCTCTCAACGAGTGAGAATTTCTTTGCATGTTGGTGGTAGTTGTTTTGTGCCTAAGGCTAATGGTATCTGTGTCTTCACACGTATCTTTTCCAACTGTATCATACTGGCTTGAACGCTCCTGATGTACCTTGAAAATTACAGGCAGAGAATGAGCATACAAATACACAAATCATTTGGCAGAATATTTTATTTGTTGTTATCCTTGGGAAAAGATTAAAAGAAAGCRTACAAACAACCAAGGAAAGAAGTAGTCTTAAGAACTTGATGCATTCAGATAAGGTACATAAGCTTAGTGAAAGATATTTGCAAAGGCAACTGAAGAAAGTTTGTTGCCAGTCTATCTGACTGATAAAAAGTCTGTCACACTAATGGTGCTGTGCCTTGAAGGGCAGGTTCATTGGTGACCTCTGATTTGTCCCCGATGCTTTGTAGCCATTCTGAAGTTCATCTCAAGAATGTAAGTCTCAAAAGCTAATGTGTTGAGGGGTGTCTGTATGTATATACTTTGCATACTTACATGCATTTGTATATGTAGAGAAAGAAGGAAAGCGATTCTGATGAGGGATGCAAGTAGAGCATCTGCAGGAAGAATTACGTTTTCTCATCTACCCTCTCCCAGTATAAAGTAGTCCTGAGACAGAGAGCTTTGCTAAAGTCATTTGAAAGAGCTTTGTCTGATGTTTGTTTTTATCCTTATATTTTTAAACTGAATCCTTGCTTGTTTAAATACTTAATAATGAAGTAAAGAAAATCAATTTTTTCAGACAAATTGCCTTGACTGGTTTTTGGAGATCACTGTACAAAGCTCAGAATGTTCTGGCTTGTAAGCAGAGGTGTGGAAAGGTTGTTAGGGATCTTGCCTCTCATGTAAAAAACTACCAAAGATCCCCAAGCCATTGCTAAAAACTCTGCCTAGCCTGTTCTTAAATAAAAATTCCTTAGCTTCCCCACATAACTTGATCCTGTGTTTAAGCTATTATTGGTCATGAAAGGAGAAAGGAGGAGAGTTCAACATTGTTTCTGTCTAATTGAGGTCTGTCTGTCTTGAAATTAARTTGTCTACTTATTGTCCTCAATGAATGGGAGAATGGCCGAATGTCAGCTGTTTTTTCATGTCTTAAAAATTTGATTTATCTCCCCATACTCAGTATTCTCATTTCCAGGCTAAATAAACAGCATTTTTTCAACCTCACAGAAGTTATGTTTTAAAAACATCTTACACTTTTCTTGCTTTCCAGTCTCCAGTTTGCTGTCTTTTTTGTAAAGGACCATGGTAGAACTAGACTCAGTCTCCAGCAGCAAAAAAAATAGAACAAAATAATGAGATTTCATGTTTTAGACTAATATGTTTCAGAATTCTATTTCTCTTTCAAAGCTATTTCATTGTGTCCAGAGTTTCAGTCTCAGTCTTTCGTCTGAGATGCTTGATATCTTAGTGCTACATTTACATCCATGTTGCTCTCATGCTTTGAACTTCTTTCCTGATTTTCTTATGAAGATTGTAATTGACAGTGGTTACCTGAAAATTAGTTGCAGCCTCTGCAAGGACATTGTCATAAGCCAGTTTGTGAAATGTGCTTCTTATTTCATTATTCCAGTTGTTGGAATCCTAAATGTTGAGCTTAGTAGGGGCATTTGAAAGACCTCATTGGTCTTTCTTCCAGTTTGTCAGAGAAAACCTCATACTAACTCTTGGAATAGTTTTTCCAGACAGTTATGCAGCCCTTTAATAGAATTTTCAGCCAGACTTATGTTTCTTTAATTTGCTGAGGAACTACAGGAGCCACAAAGGGCTTACTCAGTAGCTGTAAACTGAAATGCTACTTCTTTTTGCCTGTCTGCATGCCAGTCAGTCCGTCAGAGAGAGAAGTTAGTGGGGCTTGATGTGATTCCATTTTAATTGCCATATTACCCTACACTGTTTTGAAATGGACTACAATGTTATTTTCTTGTGCTTAGTATGGACTTTGGACTGACTGACGTAATAATTCCCTTGGTACTCCTGGCTTCTTTTAAAATAGGTGTTTGCTTTCTGGTTTTTGAGTGATTGCTARTGCTTCAGAAAATGCTTTTACTTGGTTCTTAAAGTCCACTCCAGAGTACTTAGCCTATCACCCCTTTTTATGCAGTATTGTGACTTTCTTGGGTATATTGTAAATTTTTCTTTTATAATCTATGAAATGCTGAGTGTGAACTGGCCTTTTTTTCTGCTAACACTCTTACAGTTTTAATCATCTGAGTACAAAGCTTGTACAATGTGAAAGGAACACTTCATATCTCTTGCAGTTCTCAAGGCAGGATGCAGGTCTCCCTTGAGTTGACATGGAACATCTTCAAAGTGAAGCTAAAATCTGGTTTCTGAGTTGGGCTGGATGGGATAAGAACATGGGAGGTAAAGGAAAAGACTGTGAGTGAAGACAAGGAGAGAGCTACAGATGTCACCTTTCCATTAGCCTTCCAGCACTCAGTTAAACCTTGATGTGGGATCTTGGCTCTTCCCAACTTCTCACCCATTTTCCTTTCCTATCTTCCACTGCCTTTACTGTCCTGTAATATCTTGAGCTATCGCAGCTTCTCTTCCCAAAGAGGGTTTTCCTACTGCTCTTGGTATTCCCCTGCCTCCACGTAGGTGGAGTAGTTTTCCTGACTGCTCCTTCCCCAAAGCAGTATCGATGTGAGTTTGTTGCACTGGGGAGAACATCCCTAGGCGAATGCAGAGAAAATTATTCTGCTTGGTGAGTGGCAAGAGCTCCAGCTAACTGCTGAACATGTCTAGGGCAAGGGGTGAGGTTCTCCTCCAATGCTCTGTGACACGAGGCAGGCATTGGGCAGTGGCATTTGCYTGCCGTACTTCTGCTGCAGCTTGATGTGAAAGTAAATCTTTTTACAAATATCTCACCGTTCTCCTAGTTTGAAGATATTTCAGTAACAAGATACGAAATGTTTTAGGCATTTAGACATACTGTTTCCAATTATTGTCTTCTCCATCTATTCATTTAGTTTAGTTTTGGCTTTTGACAGTGTATAAGCTATTGTTTCCTTTTCAACTACAGCTAAAATTTACCATGAAAGAAATTTTCTGAAGAACAAGGTTAATCTACCTATATTATAAAAATGTAATGCCCAAGAATATCCAGAAACTCTGTGTAATTTTGGATTAATTTCTTGTGCTGGTAATAAAATTGTTATGTTATGTGTGGGAAGGAATATAGCCCATAATTGCTAGTCTCATTTTTTTCCATCTCTGTCATCTGTGAAATCCTAAATTTGAAAGAATTTTAAATGTTCCTTCCAGAAGGCAAGATCACATGGTTCCCAGCATATCAAAGCAACGGAAATATTTTAATGTAAAGCAACAGATGGGTTTGGATTCTAATTATAAACATCGTGATACATGAGTGGACTTAGGCAATTTAGCTGATTCCATATTTTGCAAAAGTTGTTTCCAGGTAATGGGTTGAGCTGCAATTAAACACTATAAAGTTGATAGAGGAAAAAATAGAAAAAAGAAAAAAGGAAAAAGGGAAATACAGTACTGAGCCAGCATCAGTATTTTAAATTATATTGTTTGACTTCACTGGAGAAGTACAGTGCATTTCAAGTTTACAGAAGTGATGGCAATGTTTGTTTCTTCATAACCTGAATTGTATATCTCATCGTCATTAGAAAACACTGTCATTAGGTATTTCCAGCAATAGAGTCATCATAACATTACTGAAAAGCATTTAATATTAGTGCAGACAGGAGGGAAAAAAAAATTCCTGTGCGCTTCCAAAAAGTGGGAGTGACGCATCCTGGAAYTGCAATCACATCTTCGAGGCTGCTGTGAGGAACAGCTGAAATGGTTGTAATTCTGCTGTGAAAGCCTGCTGCTGCCCATTGCTTTGCAGGAATGATTTTATCTTTTGCCAGCGTAGCCTGGACTCTGAATAACTGTTCCTTCAGAAACAACATTTACATGTTGCCTTCTGGTAATGTATTCATAAAGACAGAAAGAGTAAATATTAAGTTATGCAATGTGTTCAAAAGCTGTTACAAAGATTAGTTGTTAATAATTTAGGAAATTAATAAATAACCGCATTGTCATGCTTCTTTATGATCTTTATTCTTCTGGTACTGCATAGAAATCTAGTTTACTTTCCCTTCCTGCTTATCTAGTCATACTCTCATGCTTCCTGTCACTTTGCTTTACTGTCATTGCTCATCAGTTTCCCTTTGAGTGTGTTAGTTACAGCCACTGCTATGGCTTTCTGAGCGCTGTTTCAGTTAATTCTTGAATGAAGCATAATGTGAGTTACAGGTGGCTGTATAATAAGTGATATGCCTGCCCTCCAAAGGCAAAATGTAGGGTTTTTTTTCACTTGTGGCAGGGCTTCATCTAGTAAGTCCTCAATACTAACSATTTCAGGAAAACTCATGAACTTTCTCATACTCTTTTGCAGGGGGTTTCCCAAGAAAACAGGCAGAACTGCCAGGATAGCATCAGATGAAGAGATTCAAGGGTCAAAAGATGCTGTAATTCAGGATCTGGAAAGAAAGCTTCGTTTCAAAGAAGACCTTTTGAACAATGGGCAACCGGTACGAAAACATAAAACACTCTGGGGAAAGGGAGGGGGCATCAAGGGTACTTTTTCAGATATCCCATGTATAAATTAGATGTATACATTGTCAATATAGTATTTTTTATGTTTTAGAAATTAATTAATTTTTATTGAATTTTCCAAGGCGTAAGCAAACTCTTTGTTTTGGCCTATCGGTTCCTTAGTTTGGAATTAGCAAAGCAGCGGAGGTCTGCAAGCTGATGAGCCCCTGCAGCAACCCTGTGCCATATGGCAGCCCAGGGGCTGCTCCAGCCTCCTTAGAGGCTGCTTCAGCCTCCTTAGAGGCCGTCTTGGCTTTGGCTGTTCATCACTGTCAGGGAGCACTCGGTCAGCGTGAGCGTAGCCTTCGCTCAGCCGGGCCCATTTGCCATGCTGCCCAACAAGGCGAGCTGGGAAGCGTTAGGTGGTGCGTGGACATCGCAGGCAGTTCATGCGCTGGCAGCTGGGCATCGTTACATCCTGTGACTGAGCCACTTTCTGCACCAACTTAAAGCTACTAATGGAAGCACTTTACCAAGGGCTAACAATCTACTTGAAAAAAAATAGAGAGAGATAAAACGGGCAGGTGTAACAAACACTTGAAGCATACTGYGGCAAAGTTCTCTGTTAATTTTTGTGCATTTTAAGATTTGCAGAAAAAGATAAAATACTTCTTCCTGCTAAGAGGTGATAAGAAGCACCTTAGAACATCTAGAACTCTCCTAGAACTTGATTAGTTATTAAAGGAATGATTAGAATGTCTCTGAAGCAGAAATCTTCTTTTTAAAGAAGAAMGTAACTTAAAAAACTGCAAGCTGTCATCCACATTTTGTCTCTGAAAGGTTTTCAGAGGGATCTGAATGTCTTGTGATACCTTTATGTCACTGAAAGTTGCCTAGGTCTGTTAGAGTGTCTGCAGTGCAGTGCAGGCCTGTTGATTTAGACTCACTGCTCCAGAGGTGCCGAATTCACAGCAAGGAGGATGGCATGAAATGGGGTTGTGTTAAGAGTGACTAGCACTGTGGTGCCTGCCTTCCACCCTGGCTGCACAGAGTCTGGCAGTTCCCTTCAGCAGTTGAGCAGAATCACCCTTCAAGTGCAGAAGTTCAGGTTTTTCATGGGAGGTGAGCTGAACGTGGCTGTTGATGCCTATTTTGGAAAGTGAGCGAGATGTTTGGCCTCGACCTATGAGTGGAATGTCCTGAGAAAGCCCACATGGCCCYGGGAAAGCAAGCTGGGATCAGGTGACGTGGTCGCTTGAACCTAGTTGACTCTGCTTTCGTGCTTGCCTTGAGGCTTTGGCCTTGCAGATGCCTGCCCTGGGTGATTCTGTTCGTGTCATCGTGGCTGAGGGCCCTGGGAGGGATCACAGAAGAAATTAAAGTGAAGAAAAGTTCAGGAGTTGTTTAGAAGCTCCATAACTAAGCCAAGAMTAGTACCCAGTTTTCATAAATCTTAGCCTGATGCTTTAAATATAATGTCACATCTTTCTAAAATGAAATAAAATTATTTTTTAAGTAGAAGCGTTAAGTAGATCTAACATTTTACATTTTTTTTTCCCTGTATTCAGTAGAGTTATTTAACCATGCAGTGAGTTTGCTTTTCACTTGCTGACAGAATTATGCAGTGTTGGTTTGTGAGAAATTAGGTGCATGGAATGTGTTACTGAATGTAGAAGGAAAAATAATAATGGAATAATTGTATACTTACAAGGCCTTTTTTTTTCTTTTAACTTTCTTTTCCTTGTGAGTATAAACTGCCACTGTTTCTTTTTAAGCACTGTCCTTAGTTTGCAAAAGGAAGAAAAGAAATAGGGTTAAAAATCTGAAAGACTTTTTTTTCATAAAGTTTTTTTTTTTTTTTTTTTTTTCTTTCTTCAAAATAATCAAGTAGGGTAATATCTCTGTGGCATTTTTGGCAGAGTTTTCTGCCCTGTAGTTCTAACATGGAAATTAAGCAGAACGACTAGAAGTAAGATTTGGGTTGATTTGACATGCACTTTTCTGATGGCTATGCTGATTTAAGTGGTTTCTATTGCTCACTCATGTCCAAGTTCCTGGCATGAGGGTGGAAACAAATGGCAGTCAGGACAAGGGTTGATTAAACCAGAAGAGCCACTGGTAATGCAAAAAAAATGCATTACAAACTGTAGCAGAGATTTTTGGTTAGAAACATATTGCTGCTCTCTCTTGTGAACGTTATTTTAAATTAAATTTCTGCTGCTTCGAAAGGGGAAAAAGAAATGTTTGTTTTAATGTTTGTTTCTAATTTTCATAAAAAGGTTCGAGGTGGGGAGCAGAATGAATTAGCTAGTTCCTAAGTAGCCATTTTCTGGATTCTCTCTGTGGCAGTTTGATTGTCACCTGAGTGACAGCCGTGGGCGATGTTTTAAAAGCAGCACAAAAGTTGTGTGCCACATATGCCTTAGTCTTCCAGTCCTGTTTGTGTATTTGCCTGAGCAATATTTGCAGGAAATGATTCTTTATTCACGAATATTTGTACCACTGTTTCCTGCTTATTTCTCTTTAGAAATTGTAATCCTGCTTAGAAGATGTGTTTACTTTCTGTCAAAATCAATTTAATGTCACAAACAGATTAATCAGTTCATGTAGTGGAGAAAAAGCAGAGGTACTATTATAATACAAAAAGCCACTTTTCTGTTTAAGTGCTTTTTACAACTAAAAACAGAGAGTAAACAATACAGAAAATGTGATACAGAAGCAAATTCTGAATAATTTTCAACTTTCGCCATGGAAGCCGTACTTACTCTTTAACTGCCTTATAGTTCTTACTGAGAAACAATAAGTTTTCTTTCTTTTTTTTTCTTCTTCTCCCCTCCCCCCCTTTTTTTTTTAATTCTTTGTCCAGAAGTTGACGTATGAGGAAAAAATGGCTCGCCGGCTGCTGGGCGCCGACAGCGCCGCGACCGTCTTCAGTATCCAAGAACCGGAAGAGGAGCCGGCCTTACAGGTGCTGCCTCACTCTGCACGTTCACGGGAAAATAAAATAAAAAATTCCCTTTCTTTTTTTCTCGCAGGCCTATATAAGACAGTAAATAACACAAGATAGGATGGTTTTGATTACAGAAGTCATATGTTATATATCAGTGAAGTAAACTGGAGAATCACATGCATATTGCTCAGTTTTTCCATACTGAATAAGGCTGAGAATTCTCAAATGTCTGCTTTCCACTTTAAACTCTTCCGTTAATCCTATTCTGTCCTGACCTTTAAGTCTCTCAAGGCAAAAATACATCTACTATCTTGAAACCATCTTGCCTTTCTGTGTGTAATCTGCACTTTTTGGATGCAGACCAAAAAACACAGCAGCAAGCCTGCTTGGAAGGCCAGGTACACATTCCCTAGAGTCTGTTGAGATGCCAGAGCCGCTCTTCAGAGCTGCGTAGTGTCTGTTTGCTTACGTTACCACACGCAGTATGTTCTGCTGGTAGAAACTCTGGAAGATTGTCATGGATTCTTCTGGTCTTCTTTCTGCCTCTTCATCTTTTCTTCTGCCCTTACAGGAAGTTCGCTCTATTGATGCTTCTGTAGTGAGGCCTGTGGATATTCAAAAGGTTAATGTTTTCACSTTCTTTCTTGTTTTTCTTATCCACTGTTTTTTTTTAACCTGTTGTCTTTACCCTTTCCCTGCTCCTGCTCTTGGTTAATAAGAAGAGGTCCTCTAGGTTTTAATAACTGAGGAGGTGCACTCCCTCCGCATCCTAGGCTCTATCTATATGCCTAAGCATCTGAGTGTAGTGATGATGTGCTCTAGTATCTTTCTGCAGGAATGCTAACACACACTGGTACTAACTGTCTTGCATCCAAATCAGCTGCTCTTATATAAAATAATCTGTGTGCTTCATGATTTGCTTTTGTGATAAACTTTCAGGGAACAAAGAAATAAAAAATATCTAGAGTTTATTAAGGTCAACTTCTCTTATCATATTTTCCTCCTTTATGATTAGATGTGTAGTTACTGTCTGTTGTTACCATTGACATGCAGTAGAAAGTCTGCATGTCATTCCTAGACCAAAGTCAAAGATAGAAGATGAGGTCTGTGAAATGTGGTTTTTCGTTTGTTAAATAAAAAAGGGCCAGAGACAATCACTGAAGATCATTTTTGAAAGAGTACCTAAATCTCTGTTGACTGAGAGAACTGGCTAATGTAGATTTTTTTTTTCTTCTCCTTCTGAACTTTTTTTATATTCTGCCATTATCTTGCCATTACTGAGAGCAGGACATTCTTACTGTGCGTAGATGGAGTGAACAGTTCAAGAAAAGAAATACTGTGTATGTCACAGTAATGTTTCCCAGCATCTAAAAAGCACATTTAAACAAGTAATGGTGTTCTACAGTGGATGAAATATTCTACTCTTCTTTCTAAATCTGGGCTGTACTTATGACAAAATGTTTTTCTAAGCAAGAATTTGATACTTTTGGTCAAACAAAGGGGAATATGGTAACAGAAGTGAAGGGTGGAAAGTATCAGGGTTTGCCAGTGGTGCCATTTTCTTGTTGTTGCAAGCAACTGTAAATAAAATCATTGTAGCCTTCGGGTGCAGCCTCCAGTACAGTTRTGTGGAAATTGCAGATGTGAACCAGATGGTCTTTTGGACATCTGGAAGTAAAACCTGCCCTAAATCTGTGTGTACCCTCAAGGAAATATTAGTATATGTCTTTCCTCTTTATGAACTGCTTCAGGATACTTTTATTCTTACAGGCTTTTTTTAAAAAATGGGAAGAAAGCAACCAGTGACTTTCTTTCCCCTTATAAATTAGACCTTAAGACAACATGAAATACAGTTTTTGCGTCATACCAGATGTCTTCATTGTTTCATAGGGAAGTTATTTGAAGGCATGGATTGTAGTGTTTTTCTTCAACAAGATACAGTTTCCGTCTATATGTAAAACCCTAATGGATTATCAAAGATCAGTAGAATAAAAAAAAAAATCATTAAAAATGCATCTTGCTAAGCAATGTGTTGAAGCTGGACCACTAATACATAGCTTTCTTGTTTGACAGGAGTATAAGGTCTCCAGCTTTGAGCAAAGACTGATCAGTGAAATTGAATACAGGCTGGAGAGATCTCCTGTGGAGGAATCAGATGATGAAGTGCAACATGGAGATGATCCTTTTGATAACAACGTGTCACCATATTTTGAGATCAAGCTGAAGCATTACAAAATCTTTGAGGGAATGCCAGTCACATTTACATGCAAGGTGGCAGGAAATCCAAAGCCAAAGGTAAGGAAAGAGGGTGAACATTTCTAGAAGCACTCTAAAGACTGCCTTCTTGTGCTTACCTTAGAATAAGCCCCTGGACAGTGGACTGTATACTACAGAAATAGCAGAAGTTCTCTTCTGAGATCATAGGAATTATGTGGTTGATGTCAACCAAAATCTGACTTCCGTGTCTAGCATACCCCTTCCTGAGACTTTATTTCAGTTACTTTCCCTAAAAGTGCTATTTTTGTCATTTTTAGAGTTACATTCAGGGTAGATACGTACCAGAGAATGCAGTATAATTCTCTAAATCCCCGTGGAAGCTGGCACAGTGATCCCAAAAGCAGCCTTGCCAGGTTACCATGGGTGATTAGCTCAGGCACAGCAATGCAAAAATACGTTGCGTCTGGTTCGGAAGCCACTGGGGGCCTCTGCTTTCTACAGCATTACACAGTTTATAGCTACACACTCCAAGAAGGCTAAATCTTGTTGACAGCTGAAGGCAAATTAAAAAACAGCAAGCTCCCATATATCCTGATAGCAAGAAGAACATGGTGGTGGTGKTCATGATGATGAACTTCTGAGGAACTTCTGGACTTCATTTCTACAAACGTAGAAGTACCAGTCGCTGTGATAGTGGTAGTCTGGAATAATATCTCTCCTTGTTAGGTCATGCTTAACCATTTCAAAAATCGCCCAGCAATCAACTGATTAGTACTGCAGCTCACAAATAGCAGCAGCTGCCAGGGAGGTTGTTGCAGCTCTTACAGAGACCTCTCAGGTAGGATGCCCATCACCACAGCAGCAAGGGCCACAGCTGTATCYGAAACTCTTACCTAGGTATATGGGCTTTTGCCTAGGTATTTAGRCTTTTGAACAGAGATAAAACCAAATGATTTGACATGTCCAGTCATGGCTATAAATGGTATTTACACAAACTGTAAAAAAGAAAAAAATGGGCTTTTTCAGGTAGCAAAGGAAGAATWACAGGTAGCTATAGCAATGTCTATGTTGGCAAGTGTTGCAGACCAAGARGAGCACATCAATACAGTGAAATATCCCTCCGTGCACAGATGGCTTCAGGAGATTCTCACTTTGTGCTCAGTCTCACCTTGTGCTCCTGTAGCCTGAAGCAGATGCAGCACATGAGATGTGTTCTCAGAGCACATATTCTGGCTTGGCTTTGTCTGAAGGGAATCCAGCTTGTGTGCTCCAAGGCCACTCCACAATGTGAAGTTCTGGGTTTATGTTACAAGAGCTAGGGTGGAAGGCAAATCAGTTCATTGGCGCTGGAGGTGCAGTGTGATGGAGAGGAGTTGGGTTTGCCCAGGGCTTGTGAGTGAGATGCTGAGCGACCTGTTGTGAGTCAGCCTCAGCCAACTGCAGCCGTTCCCTGATTTTCACAGCTTTCAATTAAGGAGGAGTTTCAGAGTCAGCTTAATCTGATTCAAGGCAGATGAAAGAGGATGTCACTTCTTGCCTCCCTCGCCCTCCTCGCGTTGGCATTAGGGAATGCACAGCTGGGAAGGAGCATCGGGAGTGCTTCCCGGAGTCCTTGCACCGGAAGGGCGAYGTGTCTGGGGCGAACGTGTCCCATCCGTGTCAGCGTGCGCTCTAGGAAGGGAGCTGCTCTTGCACCTGGACTGTGACCCTTTATTCCATTCACTTGCAGATGCTTTCTGAGATTTCTTAAATTACTTGGGAGGGAACCAATTTTTGGTCCCCTTGGATAAGCTACTTGTGAGCTGCACTGCGCAAACGCCAGAGGCTGCAGGACCTTCCTTGGGGAGCGCCAAGATGGCAATTTGGAAATACCCCGTGGTGGAAGGTGGCCTTTCTGCTGCCATTTGTCAAAGCTGCAAGTGTTGCTGCTGAGTAAATTCTTTACTTTGGCAAATGAAAAGCTGGAAATAATTTACTAACCTAAAGCTCCTCCCTTCTAAGTGTTCTGTCAGCTCTGGCAAAGAGTGGCTCTGGGAAGGACTGCAGTGTTTCGGAAATCTGGCATTCATTATGAGGGATTTTTCGAAGCAAGGTTATTGGCTTGATTATTTTTTCCCCTGAACATGCCATGTAAATTGAATACCGATGTGCAAATTCTGTCTTCATAAATATGACTCTTAAAATCTGAATCTACTTCTGTTGTAGCCTTCAGCATATGTAAAACTATTTTCTCATTAAAATGAGAACTTTTGGTGATATGAAAGGGATTATGGATTATTTCTTTTTAAGGGATATTTCTCTTTGGAATTAGGATATTGCTATAAAAAAGATTAAATGAGACTTGAATGTAGCACAGACCTTGTACTGCTCTCTCTTGACATGGCTGAATATAATTCATAGTGATTAAAAATGACTGTGCTGCCCAAGATGAAAAGCCCTTTTGTACTGTGTATTCCATTGTATTTCTAGTCATTACACATTGGTTTCTGAAAATCTGGTACAAATAAAGGCAATCCAGATGCTCTGTTCAGTGCTTACATAGTTTAATGGTACATTTATTAAAAGGTATCCTAGAAAGAAAATACTTCAATGAGGGCCAGTGTATCCAGTAGTGTTAGTGTTTTACTTATTAACTCCATTTCAGATAAAGACAGTATGAAGTATTTGCTAAGCATAAGTAAAAAAACACTGATGCCAGTGCTTTAAAACTTAGTGAAAATGAGTATGGTACAACCTGTGCATGACATTTGGCTGTGTGGTTCAGTTAATATTTGCATCTATTTCCATTGAATAGTTGCTGGCATGTCTCCTGATGCTTCAGATAAGCGCCTTGTTCTTCAGTAACGCCTCCTTCCTGCAGGGGATTCCGGGCAGCGTTGGGAAACGCAGGCAGCCTGCGAGTCGGGACTCATTCGGGAGCGCGGGCGCGGGAGCATCCCGGGCAGCTCCAACAGGCGCCCAGCAGCGCCCGGCAAGGCCCTCCCGAGGCTTTCGCCAGCGCCGCGGGCTCCTGACAGGCAGAATGGGGAGCAAGTGGAACCAGCTAGTGAGGAAATGAAATCATTCCACGTTGCACATCATGCTCCTTGATATGAAAGCCATACCTGGCAACTAAGTTTTAAGGGAAATTTCCACTCATCTCCTCCAATACACACCACCCTCCAGCCTATTGTGTTTTAGTGAAATTTGGAAGTATTTCCTTAATTTTCCCCCCGACTGAATGAACCTTCAGGAATTATTCTTTGTCACTTAATTTTTACTGGACAACAAGCACCTTTTTCTCACTAAAAGATACCCAYGTCAGGAATTACGCTAAGGGGAATTTATTTGCTTTCCCCTGCTAAAGGGTCCCGGTAATGCCGCGACCCGACCACCCACTGCTCCCTCCGCAGGCGGGAGGGCTCTGCCCCCCGCGTTGCGCTGGTGCTGCCTTCCCGCTGCTCCGTTGCACTGGTGCTGCCTTCCCGCTGCCACTCCGCTCCGTGTCTCGCTGGCGCAGCGGGAGTCGGGGGCGCTCTGGTCTGCCTGCTCCTCCTCCCGCCGCAGCAGGGACTACCGGAGCAGAAGAGAGGCCTCTGGGGATCCCTGGGTCAGCCTGGACACAGATCAGCCTCTTAAAGCTCTGGGTTAATCCATCCCAAGCCCCATTTGGAGCTGGTATCTCTACCTGCTTTCCGTCCGTGTATATTCTTATATATGTTTTGATGCATATGCCATATGTTTCCCTTGGTTTTCAGCAGGATACAAATCGGAATTTTATCTTTATTTTTAAAATACAGGGGAAAAAAAAAMCCTACAAAACCTTATTCAAAATAGTTGGAGCTTTTTTTTTGCCCTCAAGTAGGAAAAACACATACATGCTTTTTGTGTAATTTAGAAATTGCTGTCAGATATTATTCTGCATACATCATTTTTTGGCTCACCAAAAGTAGTTCTTGGGTCAGCCAGAGAATAAAATTATGCATCAAAAGTAATGGAAAAGGTCTCCGTTCGATAGCTAATTTAACTTGGAAGTGGAGTGTTGCTGGCCTGCGGTCACTGAAGAGCATCCCTGTGTGTAACGCTGAGCTGCGCGGGAGCGTTTCCTGCCCCGCGAAGCCGCCCGGCCCATGGATGGTGCCGCTGCCGGTGCCCACGGGTCCTGCGCGCTCGGCTCTCGCTGCGGCCCCCGGGCAGCGCCGGGCCTTGCGACGGGGCTGCAGCGAACGGGCGCTGCTGCAGGGACACCCCGGCTTCTCTTCTGTTAATCTTCGGGCTGATTGTTCCCATAATCATCTTGTTTTGTGCTCCTGCTCTCTGAAGAGGCAGCAATCGCATTCTCCAGTGCTGTGCCCAGCCTTTTCAGATTTAACTAAACCAGAATTTTACTAAAATTGTCGTTCTATCTGATAAGGATTTCCTYATTGTAATTGTGTTTATTTAGAAGTCTTGAAATGTTCGAGGACTGTTTTGTCTCTGGGATGGGCACAACCCTTACACCTGTGTCTGTGTGTTACGTAAAGGTTCATCCTGCAGCCTTTCCCTTGGGAAGGTTGCTGTCCTCTAACGTGTCTTTACTGAAACCGGCCCATGGAGCAGAGCTCTGAACGTTTAGAGCAGTTAGGCTTAGAGCAGCRTGGTTTGCTAGCGGTGTTAGCTGGGAAATGACGGCCATAACTCCCCTCCTCTTACCTCCCGTCCTCGTGCTTTGTTTTTCGGTGCAGATTTATTGGTTTAAAGACGGGAAGCAAATTTCGAAACGGAGCGATCACTACCAAATTCAGAGAGGACCTGACGGAACTTGCTCGCTGCATACGGCAGCCTCCACCCTGGACGATGACGGGAACTACACGATTATGGCAGCCAACCCGCAGGTAAGTGAAGGTTTGGCTCCAGAGCAAACATGCTTCTGAACATAAATCTTTAGAAAACGATCTCATCTTACGTTTGCATGATTTAATTAAGTGATGAAGTCACCGTAAACTAAATAAATTAGAGATTTGTTTTCATCTTGCCTTAGTAGGGTGGGACYGCTCTATCTCAAGAGATTAGCGAGTCAACACCATTTTTTCTTCCTAAGGTTTGGCGTTTCAGAGAGGAGGGGTATTTTTTAGTCACTGCTTCTCCGTTTRTTTCCGCTGATGTCATCTCAGTGTAGCAGGCCTGGGTGTGCATGGGTAGCCTGTGTGTTGTGTGTGTGCTGGAAGTGGTCAGGGTGAGGAGCGGAGGCAGCCCCGCTGAGCTAGCGTCTCCGCTGCTCCCGGCGCTGATGGGGGCCCCGGAGGGGCTGGTCCTGCGGCTGCCGAGAGGGAGCTCCGCTGTGCCCATCCCGGAGCCGTTGGTGCTGCTTCCGAGCAGCACRCGGCCCTGCCCTCCCTTCCCCACGGGCCCCCATCGGACACAAGCAGGGCCCACACGATCGTGACTTTCCCAACGCACCTCTCCCGCAGCACAGCAAGCCGAGGGGAGTGATTTGCCCACGAGGAAGCAAGGCAGCAGCGCGGCTTAGGGATGCAGTGAATTATTCTCTTCTGTAGCACCCAAGTGCTTGCCAAGAGCAGGACTGCGAGCAGGATTACACTGCAACAAAACGAGCTCTCTCCGTGAGGCCGAGCTGAACCTGGAGGGGAGTGTTGTGCTGTGTTGTGCGCGTTGCTGGGTGACTCGGGCGACGCTTCCCTTCGGCGCTGGCGCCCGGCCCGGCCCCGGCTGCAGCGCCTGCGGGAGCTCCTGCCGCCCGGGGGAGCTCCTGCCGCCCGGCGCTTTGCGTGGGGCTCCACGTACACCAGTCATGCTGCACAGAAACAGCAGTCTGGCACCTTCTGCACATAAAAGAGCGTTGTGCTGTTGTGTTTGCAACCGTTAATATTGCACAAAGTCCCAACAAATGCAGAGTTGATAAATACTTGTATACCTGTGCACGGTGGGAAACAGATGCTGCTCTTCTCCCCGTTAGTGCTGTGTTAGCCTGTGTGCAGTTCCCCTGTGCACTATTAGTGCTTGATAAAGTCTTAGGGTACGTGATGGATAAACTGCCTTTGAAACCTGTCCCCGGGTAATTTCTGTACACAYATTTAGGGTCAACATCTAACATTTGCTATTCTCAGGAAAGTGTCATCTGTCACACCGCAGTTATCAGTGGTGTCTGTTTCCCACACTGGCTTCTGGGTGGGTAGTTAATGGTACTAAAGTGACAGGTTTCTATATTGTTCCTAGTTGGAGGCTGGAAAAGGCAGTTTTGTGAAATGATAAAATGCTGTGTCTGTGCTTGGAGAGGGACCAGAAGCAGCGTCCACTAAACAAAACATCTGTTTCACCAAGCCCATTCRAGCCTGTCTTCACAGTGTAATTTCCAAGTAAATATAGTTATATCTGCTAGCGTTAACTTGCTTTCCCTGTGTGTCCAACAATACAGTGGAGTTAAAGAGCAGCTAGGAGTTAACGTGCTCGCCTTTTGCAGTAAAAGATTGGGATTCCAATTCTTTTAAGTCATCCTGAGTGGAAACAATTTTGGCTCAGTTTCCTAAATTCTAATGGAAACTTGTCTACATCTCAAGCTATCGTGAAGTTAGGCAAATTTGGCAACCTTTCCTCAGGAAAAGCAAACTGCATCAATATAACGGAGCTCCTATCAGATTTCTAGCAAAAAAAAATCCCTGGGCTGTGGCTGCGTTTGGTCAGGGCCATTAGGACCACCGAAGCTCGGCACAGGAAGGCCCGTTCTCGGTTGGTAGAAGCAGGTTTAGTTCTCTGGAGTGAAGGGTGCAGGTCCTGCAAGCTCTGCCTSTTCACACCTCTGCAGAGCTGCACTTAGCCCCACCGGGCTCCCAAAGCAAAGGGCCCCTTTCTAGCACAGCCTGGGGACAGCTGGGTAACGGGCCCTGCACTGGGGTTCTGGCAGCAGTGAAATGTGCCCTAATTCAGAGCAAACGGGGCCCAGAGCGAAAGCGGCACAAAGCCCTGCCTGTCTCAGCCCTCTGGTGAGGGGTTACATCCCCCGGCTGAGCTCCCTCCAGTAGCTGTCTGTAACTGTGGGTTTGAGGATGGGTTTTTGTCATCTTCGGCCTCATTTTCACCTTCTTTTGCAAGGTGCACCCCCAGTCCTCGCTCTGTTGTTCCTGGCGCACTCGGCCATGTTCTCATGAACCCCTTGTCGCTCCCTCCCCTTGCCGAGTCCTTGGCCTCTCCGCACCCCGCGCTCCTCCCTGTCCCCGTCGGTGCTGCCTCGTGCATCGGGGTGGCCGGGCGCGACGCACGCGAGCGGCTGCGTCGCCTGCGAGCAGGGGCTAGCGGGCACTGGGGCCGACGGGAGCGCGGGGCTCGTGCCAGGCACCTCCAGTGGTCGGGGGCCACAGAAATTGCGCTTGCTAAGCTGTGGCTCAAGGCCTGAGCAAGCGGGACCTTTAAAAAGGGATTGAGATTATTACGTTGTTATACAAAGGTATATACATTTGTAATGCATTATACAYAGAGCCTTTATTGTCGGAGCTAGCAGAGACGTTCGTTTAAATATATAATATAGTTTCTGCTGTGGTTGTTAGCCTATAGAATTGCTAATGCAACRCTGAATTAGGCATTAAGCTAAACCGTGCTGATCTCCACTGGCTTCTGAGGCTTTGGGCAGGTTTTTCTGCGGATTYTCCTGGTCAGAGCTCCACGGTGCCCGTCTGCCCTCCAGGTGCCTTTACGTTTACCCGGTCGCTCCTGCAGCGCACTGGCTGCGGGCTGGGCCTGCCAGCAGCTCCAGGCTGCCCTCGGGAGCTCCCTGTTGTGACTGCGGCGGCCAGCCTGGCTCTGAACACCTGGAATACTGCTTGTTTGGGACACCAAGCAAAACTGAGTCCAGAACCAGCCATAGGAGTTGATGCATTTTACCARAGCTTCGTCATTCCCTGAGAATCACCCACACAGGCTGGAGTCTCCAATACCCAGTGATGCACCCGGAGGGATTCCTGTCCAAGCAAGGGTCTGTCTGCAGAGGGAACCCCTGGAACCCCTGAGCCCTTGGGCAGCTGTTTTGATTCCTGTGTCCTGGGCATCTGAGCTGTGACAGGCAGGGGGACCCCGAGTCTCTGCTAGGAGCCTGCAGCTTCATCAGGTGCCATGTCCCAGGGTGGCCCGGGCTCTTTGCTCTCCTGCCTTGCTTTTTTTTTTTTTTTTTTTTTTTTTTCCCCCCCATTTGCCAAACACAGAAGCCTCCCCAATACTCCCACACCAATAACTTAGCCAATATTGAGTCAGTATTACTGACTGTATAGCTGGTTGAAATAAAAATCTTTGACAGTGAAAAACAAACAAATAAATAAATAAATACATACATACATACATAAAAGCCTTGGAATATTTCAGCCATGTTGCAGCCTGCTACAGTCACAACTGCTGGTAGGTTTATGTCAGAAGCTGTCTTGACGAATGCTGTAACTGACCGTGCAAGGCAAGGTTGTGTTGCTTGCAGCAGGTGGGCACAAGGAAGGCATCAGGCTGGAATTTTAGCACGAGAACTTGCTTGGGCTTCCTAATGTTCCTCCTCTCCATCCTCCCAACAGGGCAGAGCGAGCTGCACTGGACGCCTTATGGTTCAGGCTGTGAATCAAAGAGGCCGTAGTCCCCGGACACCTCCTGGTCAGCCTCATTTTAGAAGGTACTTTATGCCTTTTCTGCATGTGTTTGTTTAAAATATGCTTTTGTAAAATGATTATGATTGCTAATGAATGTAAAGAAAGAAGGTAAGTGAGTGGACTGGCATACAGGAAGAAATTTCACCTCTGCTGCCTAAAAATTCCTGCATACCTAGAGTCATATGCAACCGCCAAATTTACRTGACCTTTAAGTATTTTGTGCATCTTCTCTAATCACTCAGCCTTGAGACGTTCCCTRATAATTACTCCATGTCTCCATTTACACTACAAGGTGCTGGGCAGGACCTTGTCACTTAMTGTTTAAAAAAAAAATCTCCCCTAATGGCAATAGGGATTCTAGTGGAAGTCTCAGCTTCCTGCTGAGTTAAGTATCCATTTAAAGAAAGAACAGAAATAACCCTGTACCACAAAGCTTAGATTTACATTCAAAATATTTTAGTAATTTGGTGATTTCAGTTCAGGTTCTCTTAAGGAATTAGGAGTCAGAAATAAAGTATTAAACTTATCTTTTGTGAAGCTTGTGATTAATTCACATCTCGATCTTTGGTTTAAGTCTTTGGACCATATAAGGGAATCTGTGCTTCAGAAAGCCTTTTTTCATTACAAAAGGGTTTTATGGGGCTGTTTAACACCGCGAGGCACCATTAGCCTGCACAAAACGCGCAGTCAGGTCACGCAGGCAGAGCTGGCTGCGAGGAGGTGGCCGGGCCGCAGCGCAGCGCTCTGCGCGCGGAGGCACCTGCCCTGCCTCGCGGCTGCAGCCGCGGGCGGCACCAGCCCACCGTGGGGACAGGGCTGCCCCAGAGCGGCGGGCACCAGGGATGGCAGTGCGTGCCACAGGGAAGCCAGGCTGGCTTCCCCTGCTCTCGTAGCAGGGAAGGTCCCTGCAAGTAAAGGGGTGGGTGCCCGTGGCAGGGCTGCCGCGACGGGCCCTGCCACGTCCACGCAAGGAGGAGCTGCTGTGAAGAGGCTGGCGGCGCCGCGTTGGTCGTGCAAGGGGTAGGAGGTGCCACCACGTGAGCAGGGGCCCCGGGCAGCTGCCACCCTGCACCTTCCTGAAGAAGGGACAGGCATCTGCTTCCGTTGGCGGCAGCCAGAGCGCTCGGATGACAATGGGGCAGGTTTGTTTTTTAAACCTCTCCAAATGCAGCTGAAACCTGAGGCTGCCTGTGTCTGGTATTTTATTTTTGACTYGCTGCAAGCCCTGAGGCATCTATGCTAGTTTTGGATGGGTACCCAGTAGGGTTGTGCATTATAAATAAGGAATTTCCATTTAGCAGTTTAATTAAAATTAGAGCAAAGGGAATGCTCACTTCCAGCATGATTGCCAGATTTGAAGGTCTCTTGCTAATTAAGTTTGCTTTCCTCGGGTCCGTTTCTGCTAGTCTTCAGCACAGTGCTGTTCATGTCTGGCTTTTTATGTCTGGCACCGCTTCTCACCATGCCCACCAGCCAGCCCTGCCTGACACGGGTGAAATGTGAGCACGGAATGCTCTAATATTCCTAAGGCAGGGTCCCACCGATGCCAGAGCCCTGTGCCCGCCACTACAGGGGGATGGTTCTCATAAACAYGTTTCCCATACTTTTGGTAAGTGATAGTGGTGGCAGTTAAGGTGCTGTCTTTATGTTTAGCTGGAAGCAACACAGACTTGCTCACAAGTACAGTTATTAGCTTTATTAGCATTGTAATTTACTATGCTGTTGTGAGACATTTTCCTGAAGAACTTTAAATGTCTTTTGGCAGAAGACCTTACCCTTTTTATCCGCACTACTTTACAGCTATTTTAACACATTTTCTCCATGGTTGTGCTTGTCTAGCTGTTACTGCTGCAGTTTCCTGCATTTTGCTTCGCTCGCYGACGTGCGCTGCGTGGCGCTGCAGGGGGGAAGGAGGTGGGAGCTGCTGCCGGGGCGCCCGCCCAGCAGAGCCCCTGATTAGCTCCAACAAGTGTGAGAGCTAAGAGTGAAAAGCAGCAACGCGCTTCCTGCCCTGCTCTAAATGAGAGGGTTAATTTGAACATCATCTCCCTTATCCAAATTAGGGATTGTGGCACTAAGACATTGGTGAAGCCTCCCCAGCCTCTTGCTCGCCGCCCTTCCTGGGCCCTTTCGCTTCTGGGTGTGCAGCGAGGCGGGCGCCTCCGCGCTGCCGCGAGCTCGGCTGGCGCCTGCCCCGGGCTGCTCCCGCCGCCCTCGCTGCCTGCGYGCCGCAGCTTCCAGTGACCCGCTGCCCGGGCACCCCACGCGTATTCCAGGTTCTTGACAGTCATCATTCCTGAACATCTGTAGTTTCTCCTTTAAAACCACAACATGTTTTAGAATAAAAACAACTCTAGGTTCACTTCTCAAGGTAAAGGCTTAAAAGTAGAGTGTGATTTTAGAGGAAATTTTATAAAGAAAAATGCATTATTCATTTCCAACCTTAGGCTGAATGCTGTTTTGATTTTTACTTTTCCTCCTGAATGTGTAATTTGAAAATGTAGTTAAATAGAAATATTTGAAGTGATTAATACAAGTGAAAATAGCTCCAAAAAAAATYTGGTCATAAACTCATAGCGTTTTATTTATTTATTTATTTTTCCATTTAATTTGGTGTAGATTTCCAACCCACCATCCCAATTTTGGCCAAAGCTCTCTTTATGCAGCTGCAGTGCAATAGTGACTTACGGATGTCCTCACACTCCGGTGGTGTTCACGTGGCACCGTTGGCCGTGCCCAGCGGCAGCCCCTTCACCCCGTGGCAGCTCCTGAGGAGCAGGATTTAGGCACCCAGAGGGCTGCGGGAGCAGTTAGCGCGCCCTTCATTTCAGAACCCGTTCCTAAAGCAAGCAGCAGTTTGGGCTGGGTTTGTCTCCTTATCACAGGTTATACTTAAGTCCAGTGCAAGTGAAGAGCTGTTAAAACTCAAACAGCCGGAGCGCCACAAGCCCAATCCCAACAGGCATAAGGGTGACGTGCTCCATGGCGCGGGACGGGCCCTAGCGGGTGTTTATCCTGCAGCCTCCCTGCCCGCTGYTCCAAGCCGGAGCGGATTGGTTGCCAGCAGCAACTTCCTGAGCTACAGAGCCTGCGGCAGGGGCACCTGGGCTGCAGCCGTGCGGAGGCACCGCCCGGAGCCCGGAGCAGCCGCTGCCCCGCAGCAACACGATGCTGCCGCGGCAGGGATGGGGCGGGGGGCAGCGCTGTTGGAGCTGACTGGGCAGGGACAAGAATGAGCTAAAACTCTGTCTTAATGACAGGCTTGTTTCGATGTCTGAATCACACCAACAGAATGATTTCAATTGGAAACAAAAGCTAATTAACAAAGGGAACAGCTTAGACAAGGGTTCAACAGATAAATTAACAGGCAAAAGTAGTTGATGCTGGAAAAGTATTTCGGATGCTTCTGGTAGCATCAAAATGCAAAATGGTATATTTGATGTTTTAATTGAACTGTTCATTTGTACTATTTTGGGGGAACCTCTTTTTAAAGAAACTTTTATGTTTACATTACTTTTATTATGAATAGTTTACAGATGAAAGCTTTTCTTTCTATTGCTCACAGATGAAATTCTTAGTGACAGCCCATTTCAGTGGCTTTGAACATGGTCAGCAGTATCTCCATCAAAAACACATGCTAAATAAGGAGTAAATATCCCAAGCAKTTACAAATTAATTCACAGAATTTCTACATGGTCTTCAGTCATGTAAAACTAGAGAAAATGGAAAATAAGTCTATWTGGAAAGTCTTGTCTTAAGCAAGATGTGCTATCTTCTAGCTGCTCTATTTTTTTTTCCTGTAAGGTAAATATAATTATAGGTGTAATCAGCAGCAGTGAAAGGTTTAAATACACAGAACATGAGAGATGGGAAGTGGCAGTACACGCTAAAGACCTAACTGGCTTTAATTTGGATTTTGGTAATTTAATTTTAACTAATTCTAAGGCAAAAAATACTGTAATGTATAAAAATTATTATTATAAGTGTAATTATTCTGTAATAGAATTGCTTTCTAGGTTATATTTTGCCACAAGATGTGGCAATTCATTTAAAGTAATAAGTACAAAGTGTCATTTATCTCAGTCTGAGCTCAGTGCCACCAGAATTTGTGYGTAAATGCAGAGTGCTAATACTATTATGCACAGTGCTAATGCTACTAAGAAGTGACATTTAAAACAATCTGGTAAGGGCTTTTAGTTGTTGTGATTTAGCCTAGCAAAACCCATTTACCTTTATTTCATGTTATTTCAAGACCACGATCTCGCTCAAGGGACAGTGGTGATGAAAATGAACCAATTCAGGAACGATTCTTCCGGCCTCATTTCCTGCAGGCTCCTGGAGACCTGACCGTGCAAGAAGGCAAACTCTGCCGAATGGACTGCAAGGCAAGTGGCACGCGAGGGAAACGGCCTGTTAGCCGAGTCAAAAACCAAGTTAGATCTAAGAGTTGGTGCGKTTGGGTTTTCTTTTTCCCCAGCTATTTAAGCTATTGGCAGTTACCGTGACTGTCAGTAGGTTAATTAATCTCACTGCTTATCAGTAAGTTGGCAACAAAAAGCTTTCTTATCTGCCGGAGAAAGTGCTTCTGGCAAGTTCTGCAGCTCACAAAAAAAATGGTTTTTTAGCATTCAGCTGTGGTGTAGAAAGAGGTAAACACTGTAAAYAGAGTGGGCTTCTCAACCTCCAGTGCTTTTAGCCATTCAAGTTAAATCTTCCCTTAGAGTTTCAGAGTTTAATCCTGATTTATGACTTTGCCTAAGCGAATTAAGACTCAAGATTTCGTTTGTGTACTTTATGTGGCTCTATTTGGGAGCAGCTGTTTGTTTTCAAGCAGTACCTGCAGCAAGTGGCATCACTTTCAGCAGTGCAAGCTTGGTTCACTCAGACCAAGTATAAGGCAGTGCGGGCAGCGCTGTCATTAACAAGTGCTACCTAAGTGGAAGGGAATTCAGAAATCCTTGATTAGTTCCCCAGCATCCCTCGGTCTGCAAGTTTTCCACAAGGAATTCAGCTAGAAAGGAACATTTCTAGATGAGCTCTAGAGGTCCCTTCCGACCTCAACCATTCTGTGATGCCACATGAAAAGCAACCAATCCAGGAAGACAAAAGGTGTCACGGCCCCCTTTTTTATTATTTTGCAATGTGTTATCATTTAGATTCTAGCCTAGCTAAATACTGATTTTTTTTTCTGTCACGCCCATGAAACATGGTGTAATTCCGGGGGTTGGCCCAAAGGTGAGTAAAGCACTGCGTGCTGGGCTGTAATTTGGGGTGGAGGAGCCCGTCGGTCGGGCGCTGCCCCTGCGCTAGCCGACACAGCCCCAGCTCTGCCCCAACAAGCCCCCGCGCTGCCCTCTGAGCGCCTTTGCCGCCCTTGCGCGCGCTGCAGGTGAGCGGCTTGCCGACACCCGACCTGAGCTGGCAGCTCAACGGGCGGCCCATCCGGCCCGACAGCGCCCACCGCATGCTGGTGCGCGAGAACGGCGTCCACTCGCTCATCATCGAGCCCGTCAGCACCCGCGACGCCGGCATCTACACGTGCGTCGCCAGCAACCGCGCCGGGGAGAACACCTTCAGCCTGGAGCTCGTCGTCGCAGGTAACGGCTTTGCGCRGAGCTTCCGTGCGGCCTGGGAATTAAATATATATATATATACTTATATATATAAAATATATATATTTATTTATAAAATATATATATATTTATTTATATATAAAAATATATAAATATATATATTTTTTTAGAGTGTTGCTGAAAGACAGACGGCATTTTCATAGGCTAGTGTCAACATTACTGCAATCTTTGTTTTCACAGCCAAGGAAGTGCACAAAGCCCCTGTGTTCATAGAGAAGCTGCAAAACACGGGCGTGGCGGAGGGATTCCCCGTGCGACTGGAGTGCCGCATCTCCGGCGAGCCGGAGCCTCAGATATTTTGGAAGAAAGAGAATGAGTCACTCACATACAACACTGACCGAGTGAGGTTAGAATGACACGGAATCATCTCCCCATATGTAACTTCAGTGACCATTTAGCCTGTAACATAAATGAAAGCCTAGAAGGTCATAAGAATGCGTWGTGTGAACAGCAACTCATAAATATTGACGAGTTGTTACAATGCTTTATGACATTTACTCAAACTTGCTGTCAGCCTGGTGACACAGCCAGAATTAACACATTAGTTCTTTTTTTTTCCAGCCTTGGATTTAAAATAATATCTTTGCACCTTAACCAAATTGAGAAATAGCCTATTCCCCTTCAGAGCTAAGGCTTAGAGCAATTTTCTGGCAAAAGCCTGGGCTAAGTAAAGCTGTCTGCTTCCAGCCGGGCCCTGGGTTCAGCACTTGGCTGTGCAGTTAAGCCAGCCAGTCTCCACAATAACGAGCCTTCTTAGCTGACAAGAGTGGAGCATCTAAGTGTTGGTGCCAGGGCAAGATCCCTGCCAAGAGGCAAGGGAGGAGCTGGGCCTGCGGCGCCGCCTCCCCTGCGCCCCGGCTGGTCCCAACCGGGTGCTGGGCCCTCCGTGGGGCGCAAGGGCCTTCACTCCCCTGTAAGGGGAAGAGCCGCACGGGAGAACTTGGGCCTTGGGGCTGGTTCCTAAATCACACGCAAACATTCCCTCTTTTCACTCCCTCTATTTAACTCCATGTAATATTATATATTTAAAAAAAAATACAYGAAAGATCTACAAAATTGTCATCAGTAGTTCGTAACACTTTGTAAGAATGATTAAGAGCAAACTCATGATTTCAAGCAAAGAAATGTATTAATGATTCTGTAATAAATTGCTGCTATCTTTTTAAATAAGAATATTTCAGTACCTCATTCCTCAAGTCAAGCCTTTTATAATCCCCCTCAAAAGTCAGGGTAAGGGCTGACTTCCCTACTACTCAAATGGCATTTCTATAATTCAATAATGAAAAAGAGATTATCTGAAATATTTTTGCTGCTTAGTTTTTCAGTACAGGATATTAAATTACTAAATATTCAACTCTAGGTTTCATTTTTCCGTTCTGATAATTTCAGAACAAGTTTCTTACTAATTAAAAGTGGGCTATAATTAATCTGCAAGTAGGACTGGGTCTGTTTATAATGCCATTAGAAAGCAGTCTACGCTGGTGTGCACTGAAGTAGTCATTTTGTTTCTCTCCTGTGCAGCATGCACCAGGATAAYTACGGCTACATCTGCCTGCTTATTCAGGGAGCTACGAAAGAGGACGCGGGCTGGTACACCGTGTCGGCCAAGAACGAGGCCGGCATCGTGTCCTGCACCGCCAGGCTGGATGTGCACAGTAAGTGACAGCCACCTACGCGGTCACTTCAGTCCCCCTAAAAGCAAGTTTTTAAATTTTTGGTTTGTTCACAGAATGGTTTATGGGGGGGTCTCACTTTTTTTTTTATAGTTTCTCCTCAATAGTAATGAGCCACATCAAGACAAGTATAGTTTAGGGAATTAAACATAGTGAATTAACAGTAGATAACGGCATGATTACCTTAATTTTGTGGATCATTATTACTGTTGTCRTGCTAGCACTTCCCTGAACTTTGTACTCTTTTTGTACCTGTCTCTAATACACCCATGAGAGCTATCAGAAATGCAGTTTTCTTAAGGCCTTATGCTTAATCAGTTAATTCCAAGTCCAATGCAGTTCCMTGTATAATGACTGTTTTCTTCAACCAAAGTTTCCTACCAGTTCTTTTGTAAGAGTATTAAATGGAGAAGAGAAACTGAATGGAAAAGGCTGGTTTCTGGACTGGCAGAATAGCAGGACATGGGAATTACAGTGATGCTCAACAYTCGTTAGGATACAGGTGCTGCCTGGGGCAGCCAGATGATGTCCTTCCATAAGCAACAAATAACATAACATAACAAATAACATAACATAAGCCTGCCCACTGTAGGAGCAGTGCACAGAAACAAGCACCTTGCCTTTCCCCCTCTGCCTGACAGCAGGCATTAGGGTGCACAGCTTTGGGAAGAAAAACCAAAGGAATGAGGGGAGAAAGCAATGCCAAAGGAAGGTAACAAACGCAGAAGTTCTTGATTTGACTTACTGTGCCTAAARGGGAAATTGGATGCTGGGAGGGAAACATTAAGAAATCCAAAAGCTCATTTTAGTTGTTATGCTTTTCTACTGCTCAGGAATTAGTACCTCCTTTAGAAATGATTGATCGTGCATCAGGCACATTTCATGGCAGCCATCGAGATGGTTCAATTAATTGTATTCTGTTTTTCCAAACGTACAGCTCAGTGGCAGCAACCGCCCCAGACCACTAAGCCAAAGAAGGTGCGGCCCTCGGCCAGTCGGTACGCGGCCCTTTCTGACCAAGGACTAGACATCAAAGCAGCTTTCCAGCCCGAAGCCAACCCYGTCCACCTGACGATGCCCTCGGGCCTCGTCGAAAGCGATGATCTGTAGACCCGCGCTGCCGCCTCCGTCTTTCTTTGACAGCAGAAACACTGAAAGCCATTGCCTTGACCAATGATACTCTATGTCACTTTATGCAAAGGCAGACACCTTCAAGTACAAAAGGTAAACAACAACCACAGCAACCATATATTCCTTATTCATTATGCCAAATTAGAAGAATAGATAGATAATTAATAGAGATGTACACATTGCACAACAAATCACCTTCACCAGTTCCTATTATACCTAAGTTGCTTCAGCTCTTATGAATAACCCTCTTCATAAAGGCCCAACTACTACCGTGAGAGAGACTTTTCAGAAGAAAACACTATTTATCACTACGTGCCTTCATAAGCAACAAGTAGATGCTACACAGTCATAATGGTGCAAGATTATGTTATTTGAGGCCATTAGATCACAAATGTAGTTCTAAAATGGCAATGCATTGTGAAAGCTACAATGAACAAGTGCAATACTGCAGGAATCAAACCAGAAGGGACAAGGAAGAGAAATGTCAGCAAATGCTGTATCTCTGCAAACTACGTTCTATTCTACAAAGAAAAAGAATATCTTGCCTTAAATGCTGTTCATATGGGCAATCCTGTAATGCAACATTGACACCGTRATTTTTAACTCTTATTTTCCCTTTTTGTCACCCAATAGGAGTGTTGTTACTTAAGAACATACAGCAAGGCTAATTTAAGCACAAATAATGTCACTTCTTCCAGAGAGAGGAACAAGAGCTGAGTGTAGTAAAAGTCTACTTACTACAGACCATAAATCTGAGTGCCTAGGTGGGAAAAATGCCACCATGAACCACTGCATTAAGTTAGTGGGGGGAGAGGTGGGGAGGGAGACAAGGGTGGGAAGCAGCGATTTCTTGAGAACATCCTGCAATCCCTAACACCACCGTGCGAACACCTGCAGTGCCAAGGGCTGCACAGAACCAGGGCGTTACGTATGGGCCATCGGATTGGTTAGAGATGGTGTAAAGTGTGTGAGGATTTTAGAAATGTACCGTAAGTGAAAAATGGGTTGAGACTGCAATAGGAATTTAAATGACAAGCATACACCACAAGTGATAAGTTTGCAGATTGGAGGAAGTAGAGAATGAAGCTGGACTACAACAAAATTAGTGCCTTTTTTTTTCTTTTCTCCTTTTTAACACAGCACTTGTCTCTAGCAGGTTACTTCRTGGTTGTTCTCCCCCCTGTTGCTGGCTACTAACCCCTCCTTTAAGGGCTAGGGTCTGTGTGCGCAGGCACCACAGCTGCAGGCCGCTTTCAGGCTGCAAGGCGAATCCACGGCGAACTGGAGCCCTGCCTGGGCTAACCCAACTAGGTAGTTTTAAATTGGAAGCAAATGAATTTCAGAGGAAGCGGGGGGAGGGAGGGAGGGAGGGAGGGAGGGATGCAAGAAACTAGTAGGCTTGACAAGAAAAATGTGCATTTGATGGTACGAGCATATTTTGCCATGAAAGGAAAACACTGTATTCCTTATATGAAGCACATATATGGTATCTTTATTTATAATAAAAGTGTTGAAATCTTTTATCTCAGTTCAGTTATTCAGAAGTCCTGTACTTTTAGGAGTTTTTTTTTTAATTTTGTAATTGTGTACACCATATATTGCATTACCACTATACGTGTATTGCTTTGTACGTACACAGTTTGTTTTGTTTTTTAGCGCCTAATAAACTGTAGCACATAAGGTAGTCTCTTCTATGCAAACTGGTGCCGGATCTGCCCAGTTACGGGGATCGCTACTCCAAATTACTGTCATAGTCTGTCATATGGGAGTATCTGATTATCTTCTAGAACAGGATGTCGTATCATTTGCCAAATTTTTCTTGACTGTGACATGCTAATTTACTTTTTGTTTAGCTTCACTAGCCTTATTTTGCCACCTTTTATTTGTATTTATAAAAATGTACTATCATTACTTTGGATTGTTGTGCTGATATAATGTGGGTTTAACATCAATAAATATTACACAAAGTTTTTCTTCTGGTAAAGGCTGTTAACTGTTTCAGTACAAGCATGCACGTGTAAGAGAAAATGTAAGTATTGTGAACGCAGCTGAGGCGAGGGCTAGATGAAGCTGCTAGAAATGATCAGAACTTGTTCATCACAGTACTTGCCTTGTGACAGGGAAKCTTGTTTAAGCAAAACAGAGGAATATGGATTTTTTCTTAACCTGAGATTCCTGCTGATACTACTACTGAAGTCAATKAAATTTCATCTACTTACAGTAACTCCGTCTTTGGCAGTTAACGATCTCCTGTGAGCAAGTTAAGATGAGGTCATCATCACTTTTTGCCCCTGTATATCCATACACACATACGCTGGAGTAGTAAATCACATCTCTAAGGAATAAAGTTGTTTTTCTGAAAACATTCAGCTGTGCGGTTACCTAGCTACTGAGGCTGTTTGGGTTTAAAAATTCAGAGATAGAAGTGCAGCACAAGAGGACATAATTTTTAAGCCAAACACTGAAATTCTTGGAAGCATCAAAGTAACTTTCAGGAGTTTAATCTACCYCCACAAACTCCAAAGATACAGAACATAATAGGATGCAGCTATCCTTGAATCATTTCATACAACCAGAACAAGAACCATTCTGCAAGATTTTAGGTTTAGCTATAGACTTCTTAAGTTATTTAAGAAGCTTACCAGTCCATCTGTAGTCAAAGCCATCCACTATACAATGCAGGAGCATTCAGGATAGTAATTAAATGTAAACAGAACCTCCTGTCAAGMGTTACCTGCTGACCTCCACATGCGTTGTTTTCTTTAGTTGGTTGGCTACCTTAACACCGCACAGCAGCAATTAGGTAACATATACACAGGTTTTTGGTCCCAGTTAGATGCTAWGTCTGAAGCTGTAGCTTAAAAAGTGTAGGTTGTTTCTCGACCATTGTGGTTGTTGCTCCACCATTCTGTTATTCATGGAAGGGGGAGAAATCTTCCTGCATGTAACTGGTTCTCCTGAACGGTCTAAAATCAAACAAAACCGAGAAAATGAACCAAGCAGCGCTTCCCCTGTACATTTTATTTTCTGTTTGAAATGACCGTGGGTGCATAAGGCCATCAGGCAGATGAAAACACAGCTGTACAGACAGCACCCACACGGTGTAACGTGTCTCAGCGCTGGCCGATGAGGAGCGGGACCTGCACAGCAACCATCTCAGCAACTGTAAAGAGGCAGCAGAAMGAATTTCAACCCCATGGCGCTAGGAGAGAGAGGCCTGTTATAAAATAACTGCACTGCAATAGGTAAACACAGAGACCAGCCAAGTCTCACAATGCCTTCACTTTCTAGTTCTGCASCACCATAACTGGGCCAGAAACAGCTGCAGCAAAGAGCAAACAGTGACAGCACCTGGCCACTACTCAGACTGGTTACAGAGTTACAGCAAAACAGGGCACAGCTCCTCACACCAACTCTGGAGTAGGCTTCTGGGTTTGTTTCTTTCTCCCCTCCAGAAGCCTTTTTCAATCCTAAGCCTATTTGCAAGCTTTCTCAGTCAACAGCTAGCCCAGAACTCTCAGAAGGAGTGCTTCCAAAAGGGGAGCACAKGGCACATACCTTGCCAAGGACACTACCTTTGCAAGCTACTGCGGAAGGTGTTAAGACTAACAGCATTTCCTACAGCTCTGGTCTGTTGCAGCTGAAGCATTAGTGGATTTGGGAGCAAGGTCTTACCTGCAGTGTCTGCCTGAGCCTCCGGTGAAGCCTTTGGTGGCAAAGAGCTAAAACAAAACACAAGCTACCACAGTGCTCAATTAACATACTGTTAATTCACTTCCTCCTGCAATACTCTGATTCAATAGTTTGTAATACTTTTAAGCTACAGTAAAACTTCTCCCTTCCTTAAATTCTATTAACTTCAGCTGCACAGTCACTAATAATTTATTATTTCATGTGTTGTAATTGAAATATATAATAAATAATGAAAAAACATTTCTTCTATCACTACAACCGTGAATAAATCCAACGTGCTAATGCTGTCACCTGAAGTATGCAACTGCAGCCGTCTTTCTCAAGAGTCTCTGTATGAAAAGTTCCAGATCTTGATTCTACTAGGGGAAAAAAAAAAACAAAAACAGGAATTACGTAGTGTAGACTTCTAACTCAAAAAATGACATCACACGATTACATAGACTCTATCAGTTATTTCCCTCTAATGTCTTCCATACAAGAGGGGGCGAAAAAAAAAAAGCAGTTAAAAGGCCTAGCAGATTGAAAGTCTCTAAAGAACAATCATTATTTTTAAACACTTGTATCCTGCCAAGTTTTCTAAGGGCTGCAAGCTCATTAAAAGCCCAACTTCATGACAACAGAACAGTTTTCATTTGTAATTGCTAACTTTTTTTTGGTGCACTACAAAGACATCCCAGGCGGGGCACCGCTACAGCTAACGCGCTCCAGCTTGGCCTCCACATGCGGGACGAGGCCCCGCAGCCGCTTCCAGGAGCGGCTTCAGCGAGCGCGCGACGCCGGCCGCGGCAAGGAGCGAGCGGCCGCCCCGCGGCACCGAGGCGGGCGGGAACAAAAGGTTAGTTCTTGTCTTGTTGCACAAGAGGGTCACCAGTGTTTCCACTGCCCTTGCTCAGGAATGCAGAGCTTGTCCTGGTTTGTTTTGGCTGCAGACGAAGTATTCAGAAGCAAATTCCCAGTGAATGTCACTGAACTGAATCTGGAAGCCAGGGAATGCTGACAAAAGAGCACAGTAGATCATTAGTCTGCAGTAATATAGCACATATAGGCTATTAAAGGAAGGGGAGATCAAGTGAAAGGAGTTTTCTTTTTTAAAGGCAAAACTGAGAATTATTTATTTACTTATTTGGTGATGCCCTTCACAGACAGAGTCAACTGAGTATTTCTGAGTAAATCATTTCTTATGAACTCATCTCAAATATAAATATTATATTTGAGTCTCAGATGGCAGGACATCAACTGCATTAAGAAAGTGGCATTAACTGCATTTAGCACAGCACACAATAAGCATTAATGAAAGCCATACTACAGGGACACAGTATCAAGAAGAAAGACCCCATGACGCCAACAGAACCAAAGATTTTTGCAGAAAAAAAAAAAAATCATAAAGCTGCCAGCTTTGCAAAAGCATGTCCCTAAATTAAACCTCATTCATTCCATGTTTTCAGATGCATAAACATACCTTTAGGGCACAGCAGAAAGACAGTGTGAGTTCCCTCTGGTGCCCGGAAAACTATGGCTGAACTTTAACCCCACAGCAGCCTTGGGGGCTGCAGTAGCCTTCCTATAGGAAAGCCAGGAGCACGTGCAGCAAAGGGAGGCAGCTCCGGCCCTGCCACGGGCAGGCATCTTACGGCCAAGAGGCAGCTATACGCACCACACAGCATCCCTATCAAACACACATGAAATAGGTCTTTTTTTCCTAGGTTTACAGGAAGTTTTCAGCAGAAATACATAAACTAGCTTGTTATACAGCACAGAGCCAGACTGACAGCAACAGCAACTAAAATGCACTGAAACCTTTAACAGGTCTTCAGCTGATGGCTGGAGATGTGTTTACAGCACAGCAGGCAGCCTGTGAAAGGCAGAGTGGAAGAGCTCTGAACTGCCACGTATGGCACGATGCCACGGGGGCACAAACACAGGCACGCACGCGTCACCRCAACGCCGCACAAGTGCCCGCAAACCTGCGCTCTGCAAACAGGCACAGCCAGTAAGCTCAGAAGAAAAGCAGTAAAAAGCAGAGGAGTGGGCACAAAAAAAAAAAACTCATAAATTACCTCAGACGCTTCCTTAAGGACTGACTTCATGTGGCCAGTATGCGATACAGAGGYGAGTGGTAAAGAGCAGTTACTGCCACACTGTGCCTAGGAGAGTCCAATCTGGCCATAATGCCAGGGAGGGAAAGCTGGTGGTTTGCACATGCAGATCATTTCGACATGTGTGACACCATCATACCCAAAATGGCAATTYGTTATGAGATCTCCAAGGAGCCAAAGCAATCCTTTAACCAATAGTAGAGAAATACTAATTTCCACTTCAGATTTTGAGATTACCATGGTAAAATACATTAAGAAAAAAAAAAAAAAAAGAGAGAGAAACATATTATCAGCACTGGAGCTGGTATATTTTAAAGAGA